CCCCCCCCCCCCCCGTTCAAGTCTTCCATGAGAAGGGGGAAACAGGATGCGCCACGGTGGACGGTCCCCTTCTATTTCTTTTAATGGGCATCTTTTAGTCCCCAATCAATTTGACGGTACCGACTGATTCCCCGATACCGGTCAAACCTCATGGGCCCGTGTAAGTACGGTTCGAACCTTCTTCCAGGTCCAGCCTTCTTGCAGGCATACCCTCTTCCGGGTTTTAATATTTTTTATATTATACTGAGCAAGACCGGTGTAGTAACCAGCGTGCCAGGTCCGGGCCTGTGTCTCAGTTGGCTTATCCAAGTGGTTCGACCTATCCTTTCTGCTGCTTCCATGTAGAGTATTGAACATCATTTTGATTGATAAGGTAATTAGGCCTCGCCTAGTATTACAATCATTTGTAGAATTTGCGAAGATGATGGGAATTCCAAGTTCTTTCTACCGGTACCCCGTCTAGAGTTTCTAACCGGTAGGTTCCCGGGCGAATGATGGCTCTCACCCGGTATGGCCCTTCCCAGTTTTTGGCCAGCTTTCCCCATCGCCTGGTCTACTTGCTTCTCTTCTTCGTAGGACTTCATCTCCAACTGTGAAGTATCGCGGCCCAACCTTGTTGTCATGGTACTTCTTCATAACTTGTTGGTATGTACTCATCATCACCTCTGCCGCCATCCTTCGTTCCTCGACCAAGTTGAGCTCGGCTAGATGGTCTTCTTCATTTTGCTGGGGTTGATAATTTGTTTCCCGGAACGTTGGGAATTCAACTTCGATGGGCAGCCTTGCTTCACACTCATAGGTTAGGGAGAATGGAGTTTCCCCGTGAGCCCTCCTGGGTGTTACTCGGAATGCCCATATGATGTGTGGGAGCTCTTCCAGCCACTTGTTTCCTGCCTCTCCCAGCCGTTTCTTTAGACCATCCATGATCGTTCGGTTAGCGTTTTCAACTTGGCCATTTCCTTGGGGGTACGCCACCGAAGAGCGATTGTGCTTGATCCCAAGGCCCTCCAAGTATTCGGTGAATCTTGGATTTCGGAATTGTGGGCCGTTGTCGGTGATGAGGTTCATGGGCGCTCCAAACCTCGTGATGATGTTCTTCCAAATGAATTTCTTGCATTGTTGCATGGTAATGTTGGCCAATGCTTCGGCCTCGACCCATTTGGTGAAGTAATCGATGGCTACGATTACGAACTTCTTCCCTCCTTGGGCGACTGGGAATGCTCCAATGATATCAACCCCGAATCTAGCGAACGGGATGACATTAGACACGGCGTGATAGTAGGTCGCCGGTCTTCCGGGGTACTTGTTGAACACTTGGCACGTTCTGCATTTCTGAACATACCTTTCACAATCCTGGATAATTGTTGGCCAGTAATACCCCAATAGGATGATGCGCTGGGAAAGCGCACGGGACATTTGATGCGCCGCGCATACGCCTTTGTGGACCTCCGCTATGACTCGCTCAGCTTCCCGGTTGGTTAGACATCTCAGGAGTGGCCCCCCAAATGCCCTTTTATATAGATTTCCATCAGGAACCTGGAATCGGGGTTCCCTGAGCTTCACTTTTCTTGCCCGGTCATCTTGTTCTGGCAAGCTCCCATTCATCAAATATTCCATCAGATCATACATCCAATGGTCGTCCACCCCGACCAGGTTTGACCGGTCAGATTGGCTTCCGGCTGTTATAGCGGCGAATTCCAATTTTTAGATGCTGGCTCAATCCAGGATTTCCGCCCGGGCAAGTTTCGAAACATGCTCGGGGGAATACTACGTCAACTTGGAGAGAAGGTCTGCATCCGCGTTCTCCGCCCGGGGAATTTGGGCGATCTTGAATTCCTCGAAGCCTTTCAACAGGGCGAGCACGAGCTCCTTGTATTGTGTCATGCGTCCTTCCCTTGCTTCCATGTTACCGGTCACTTGCCCAACAATCAGGCTAGAGTCAGATTTGATACTGACGCGGCTGAGCCCTCCAGCCAGAGCTTCATATTCTGCCTCATTGTTCGTCAGCTTGAAGTTGAAGACGATTGCATGGTAGATCTTGAACCCTTATGGGGTGGTGTACACGATACCACCCCCGTATCCTCTAGGACCAGATGCCCCATCAACGGCCATCTCCCACCATTGCTCAGTGGGCTTGTTGACTGGTAGGTGTGGAGTTAGACCGGTCATTTCTACCAGGAAGTCTGCAAGGGCTTGTCCCTTGATTGCTGACCTTGGCCGGTACTCAATATTGAACTGAGTTAACATCATTGCCCACTTCACCATCCTCCCGGAGGATGTTGAATTTCGCAACACTACACCCAGCGGTTGGTCAGTCAAGACTTCCACCGGGTGAGCTTGGAAGTAGGATGTTAACTTTTTGCGGAGATGAAAAGCGCATAGGCAGTCTTCCCCATCGCCGTATATCTACTCTCAGCCCCGTTTAGTGCTTTGCTCACATAATAAATGGGCTTTTGTGACCCATCATCTCTTATTAAAATGGAGCTTATAGCATTTGGGGAAATTCCCAGGTATAGATACAGAGTTTCACCCGGTTCGGGTTTAGACAATACAATATCCGACGCTAGGTACTCTTTCAGCTCCTCAAATGCCCTCTGACATTCTTCATCCCATACAAATGTGTTGGCCTTCTTCAGAACTTTGAAGAAGGGCAGGGATCTCTTAGCTGACCGGGAAAGGAACCGGCTGAGGGCCGCTAGACGACCGGTCAACTATTCGGCTCCGTCCCTAACGGAGGTAGGGGCTTGCATTTCAGTGATGGCCCGGATTTTTTCTAGGTTGGGCTCTATTCCTCTCTTGGTCACCATGAATCCCAAGAACTTCCCGGTACAAACCGCGAAGACGCATTTCTTAGGATTCAGCCGGATGTTGTATTTTGCCATGATATCGAACGTGGCTCGCATATCAGCCGGGTGGTTGAGAGATACCTGGCTTTTGATCAGCATGTCGTCGGCGTATAACTCCATGGTCTTTCCCAGCAGTGGCTTGAAGAGTTTGTTCACCATGCGCTGGTAGGTTGCTCCTGAGTTCTTTAAGCCAAACGCCATTACCCGGTAACAGTAGGTTCCTTCGGGTGTGAGGAATGACGTCTTCTGTTCATCTTCCTTGGCCATGTAGATTTGGTGGTAACCCTTGAAGGCATCCATGAAACTTAGGAGTTCGCACCCCGCAGTCTCGTCCACCATTTGATCTGGACTAGGAAGGGGGTATGAATCCATCGGACAAGCCTTGTTCAAGTCCGTATAATCCACACACATTCTCCACGTGTCGCCCTTGGGATCAAGGACAACGTTGGCCAGCCAATCCGGGTATTTGACTTCCCGGATGTGACCAACACTGAGGAGATCCTTCACTTCCTTCTTGACGAAGTCTCGCCGGTCACTGGCCAGGTACCGCTTCTTCTGACGTACCGGTCGACTTCCTTCCTTCACGGCCAACCGGTGGCAGATAACAGAGTGATCTATTCCGGGCATATCCGCCACGCTCCATGCAAATATGCCTGCGTATTCTTGGAGGACCCATGTAATCTCTGCCTTGAGATCCTCGGGGAGATTTGCTCCAATTCTGACCATCCTCGAAGAATCACCCGGGTGAAGTTCGATTTCCACCATCTCGGCCTCGGGCTCCAATTTCTTATGGGTCTCTCCCTTTATGATCTCTTGGGAGATGACATTGACCCCCTTGGTCATCTTCTTGACTGCTCGGGCATAGCACTCCCGGGCATTCCTCTGGTCGCCTTTTGGTGGTCCCGAAGTGGTGAGATACAAAGTCTAGAGGGGGGGGTGAATAGACTTTGTTACAAATTTTAAAACTTTTTCGTTTCTTTTGAAAACGTGAAAATGAATGTTAATCTAGAGTTCTTGTGAACTTTAGATTATGTGCAGAAGTTGGTGGGTAGAGTGAGCAGTAATCAATATGGATGGGTTAGTTTTCACAGTTAATATAATTGCAAGTAAAAATAAAGATAAAAGAGAGAGACACACAAACTTTAACGAGGTTCGAAGGTGGGGTAATCCTTCTACGTCCTCAAAATCCACTATGTAGTTGGTCGTTGAATAATGAACCAATAATTACACTTGTGTGAATTTCTGCACGGTATATCTTCGCAAGGCCAATGTTGCTACTGCACTCGTGCTGGCTTTGTTGTTCCTTCGAAGGTCACGCTTCTTCAACAACTGCAAGGTCCGAACAATAGGACTTGCAAGACCAACTTGTAAGAAAGTTGACCTACCCCCTTTCAATCAGTAAGTTTGATCAAAAGTTGTATCCTTCAACGTGGTGTGGTACTTGAGGCAAGGAAACCTTCAAGTATTTACACTATAGCTCTTTGGAAGGAGGAGAAGTTTGCTTCTGGATAAGGAGTTTAGAAATCTCTCTTTATCAAGCTTTTTGGGCTAACTGTGAATGAGGTAGCCTCTTTGTGGTTGTTTATCTTATTGTTGTCGTTGTTCTCTACTTCCCCAGTCTTCCAAGGATGCTATTTTATAGCTGGATTGGATAATTTATCCGTTGAGTCAAAATAGACTATCAGTTGCATTTGCTGGCTTCAATTTNTTTAGGAATTCTGGACAGGTTCTTCAATTTTTAGATGTCCAGACTTTGTCTTCGAGTCATTTGTTCTTGAATTAGCATAATTATCTTCAATCTAGGCGTTGAAAATCAAGAGATTGAGTTTTTCCTTACCAACGGTAGAATTTCTTCATTCAAGACTTAGATAATTTTCTAAGTCTTTTCTCACTTGTCCGCTTTTTGAGAATTCCGGTCTTCCTTGAGGCATCCGGTTCTTAGCTAACAAATCCGGAAGAGTCATACTCAGTCTTCCAGGTGAGAAAGAAATTCGCGCTAGTCTTCCGACTTAGCCTTCAGCGGGTTGTAGCGAGACATCCGGTTCTCATGTAGTATTCTGGATAGGAGGATTTCTGTCTGCTTTGAGAAATCCTTACTTGTCTCTGACATTTCCGATCAAGATATCCAATTTCCAAATTTCTGAATTTGATTAAGTCTTGAGGCATCAAACCGTTTAAAGAAATATCACAACTTTATTGGAAATCTCAAGAACTTGGTTTTAAAAATATTTCTAAAAGGAAAAATTACATTGAATATCTGGGGAGACCTAAAGTCCCTATTACATTCTAAATACATCATCATCAAAATCTATGATATTTTTCCCAACAAGAGAAGGTGTATGGTGTAATCCTGAAAAATAAGAAGGAAGATAGAGAGAGTGTTGTTCCAGAGAAGGTGTATGGTGTAATCCTGAAAAATACGAGATTTTCACCTTAGACCTTCTCTACTGCCGAGATTCTCACCATAGACCTTGAAAGTCTTTTCTTCTCAATAGGCTTCTTCCATTGCCGTTTAAAGAAATATCACAACTTTATTGGAAATCTCAAGAACTTGGTTTTAAAAATATTTCTAAAAGGAAAAATTACATTGAATATCTGGGGAGACCTAAAGTCCCTATTACATTCTAAATACATCATCATCAAAATCTATGATATTTTTCCCAACAAGAGAAGGTGTATGGTGTAATCCTGAAAAATAAGAAGGGAGATAGAGAGAGTGTTGTTCCAGAGAAGGTGTATGGTGTAATCCTGAAAAATACGAGATTTTCACCTTAGACCTTCTCTACTGCCGAGATTCTCACCATAGACCTTGAAAGTCTTTTCTTCTCAATAGGCTTCTTCCATTGCCGTCTATGAGGGTGAGAAAGAAAAATTTCTCCATTGAGGATATTTTTCTTGGTGTGTTTCTTAGACAGTGAGTTTGAAGATTTTTCATATTGAAAGAGCTGTTTGTGATAGGAATGGATTGAGATATCTTGATTTAAATAAGAGAGGAGGTAGAGAGAGGGGAGGTTCACGGGTTCCATTAATTGGGTAGATGGAACGGTGAGAGTAAAAGAGTTTCAACTTCCAAGAAGTTCAAAAGTGGAAGGAATCTTTTACCAATTATCAATGAATTGAAACTGTTCCAATTTGAAAATCAGTTTCGTTTGGTTTGAGAACCATAACTGTTTCAATTTGGCTAAGCCCAAAAGAGTGGCCCAAAAAGAAAAGAAAGCTATGTACTAAAGGGAAATTATTCCTATTGGGTTCTCAAGGCCCAAAATAAAACTACCATTTTTCATTCCCTATAGTTTTAATTTCTACTTAGGACGAGGTAGTACCAAAACAAATATGAATTTTATTTTTAAAAGAAAAGTGGTACTATTTTTCCAAAGTCCTGTACATTTTAAAAATCATAAGGACCAGTACTTTTAGAGCTTGTTGGAAATGAATTAAGGACTGAAGCTTTGTTTAAGAAGGCAGATTTTGTAAAGTACCTGAATCGGAGATTTCCAATTTTAGTACCAAAACTGAGATATCCGTCTTCCATTGCTTAGAGCTTATCAATAATTCATTGCCAAAAACAATTGTTAGCCAAAAACTAGTTAAGTTCCCCCTGAATTACATTCCCCCTGAATGTATGCGCTAGGAATAAATCTCAAAAACATACTTGAATTGGGTATAATCAAGCATAGTGAGCACAATTAAGAGAAATATTAAGGGAATGTTTAAACCAATAAAGCAATGTTTAAACAAGAAGGTGTTTTCATCAAAGCAAATTAATGTTTTCACATACTTTCCCCCTGATTTGATAAAAAAAAGCCTTCAGTGCTTCTTGCGCTTTGAAGATTCGGCAATCTCCCTGATGCCTTGCATGTTTCCACATAGTTCTTTGATGCGCCTTATGTTGTTCCGTCTCTCCTCTGTTTTATTTTCATTTGAGAAGTGAGCAGCAATTGTTTCTACAGCCTCTGTTCCATCCAATCCGGAGCTGGATAAGCGCTGTGTTGAGTTTTCCGGATTGCTTCTCTGAGCTTCAAGGACTAGATCGGTCAAGTTTAGATGCGTAGGAATGTAAGAGACTTCTCCTTCTTTGACTGCAATGGGGAGCTCTGGAATCAAGGATGGACTGTGTTGTTAAAGAACCACTTCCATCTTGCGATTTCCAGAATTTGTGGTAAGAAGTCTGAATAGTTTGTGTGCTTCCTTCTTATTGTCAATGATTACCTTCAACTAGTTTTTGGTTACTACTTGATTTGCTGAAGACACTGCGAGAGCTGCTTTGATGTTCATTTGGAGAATGGACATTTGTTTTTGTAGACTGATTGTGACATTTGCTATTTGCTCTCTGATGTTGTTAGCCTCCTTGAGTTGAAGATAACTGTCAGATGCATATGTCTCCATCGTGTTGCTCACAGTGTTACTCAAAAGAGATAAGATCTCTAGAGTTTTATCCACTGATTTGCTTATCTCCTTGAGATTGGAGCAGTGTGTTTCTTCGGATTTCTCAATCAGTTTGTTGTGCCTGGCTTCCATCTGCTCTATCTCTTGCCTAAAGGAGGCATGTTGAGATGCTAGGGCTGAGTCAATCAGCCCTTGGACCTTCTTTGTCCAGATTTCCGGTACCTCATCCGGAAGAGTAGGAATGGAAGAGCTATGGAAATGGAAGTTGGTTACCTGATGAGAAGAGAGAGTTCTTTGGAAGTGTTCTATAGGAAGAGATTCAGCATCATCTTGTACATCTTCTTCATCATTGATCTTCAGGGTCCTTTCAGATTCTTCTTTTGCTTCCCCAAGTGTGAAATTTGATATATCCCGAGAGAGGGAGTCTTTTTCTTCAGCTTCATTCTGTCCTTCAAAAATGGCTACTAGAGATTTGGAGGCCTCCAGTTCTGCCATTTGAGTTTCCTTTTCAGCTTCTGCAGAACTTCTCTAGGCTTCTACAGCTTGCTCTTCTTGAGCTTCATTTGTTTCTGGAGTTTTGGACATCTCCAGATTTTCTGCTGACTTCTCCGGGATCTCAGTTTCAGTAGGATTGGTGATCTCACAAGGATTTGTGAGAATCTCTAAAGCTTCAGAATGGAGAAGTTGCTGGAATTCTTCATTTGATCCTTCCTGGTTCTGTTTTTGTGGAGTAGAGACTGCAACTTCAGGTGGAACAGTTTCAAAGGCAGATGAGAACCACCTGATCTTCTGTGGAGTAGAGACTGCAACTTCATTTGGAAATCCTCAGCTGTTGTTTCCAAGTTAGCCTGTGCTTCAGAAGTGAGAACCACCTGATCTTCTGTGGTTTTTGAGAGGACTGGTTTGTATACTGCAGGATCCTCATCATCCACTTCAAACTCTGAAATTGGTGAGGTGACCAAGTGTTCCAGATGCAAATCTTCATAGTTCCTTTTCCATACCCAGTCAACATCCAGGATTTGCTCACAACAATAGTTGACTGGCAGACCTAAGCATTTCTTGATGATCTTCTCATTTTTCAATTGCTGGTCCCAACTCAGCAACTGTTCTGCTGAGTTTCCAACTTTCCAAGCTCTCCAGTCATAGTAGAGCTGCCAGAATTGATTCTCAGCATCATCTACTTGAGGTTGTGAGGAAGTTGGAGAATTCTGAACTTGAGGAATTTCTTCTTCAAGTTGTTGAGAACTCCGGTTGTGGGCAGAGGTTTCCTTAGTTGGTTCCTTCTCCTTCAACTCATCCGGATTGACATGTCCAGATGTTGAGGGAGAGGTGATTTTCCTCTTCTTTTTCCTTTGTAGTTCTCCTTGGTCAGAGAATTCTTCTTCTTCTCCAAGATTGATTGGAGCAAGATTCTGTGGTGCTTCAGCACTGGGAGAGGGAGACACCACTTGCTTCCTCTTTACTGATTTGTTCAGACTCATGATACGGACATTGTCTGAAGAACTTTCCTCTGCAGTTGTGCTAGCACCAGCTCTGTTTTCCCCTTTGGAAGACAGATATTACAGCCAATATCTGGCTTCATACTTCTTTCCTTCAGAAACAGCACCCAAGGACTCCAAGATATGTCCAATGTATAGACCTTGACAAAGGTATTTCTGGTTGGGTTTTCCTAG